TGTTGTTTATCGCTTAACAAAAGTGTTAATACTATTTTTTGGTAGTAAGTAAAATTTAAAAGCTACAGCTGTTTAAATGCAAAAAGTCAAGTATGCTCAATGTACCCCATAGGTGGGGCAAGTTGAGCACTAAGAAATTATAATGAAATCATAGGTTCAATGTCGATTAGTGATGAAATAAAATAAGTTTTTAATAACCAATTTTATATTTATAGTCTTTATTGATAGAGAAAACAAAGCTTATAGTAATTTGCTTTGAATAATTAACGAAAAGTAGAATCGACAAAATAATATCGTATCTTAGGAATTAATTTACCATTATATTCAGTATTTTTGTTTAAAATCATTATTTCTTTATATTATTACTCATAGACTCAGCTTAAATCTTAAAAATAATAATTTCTGGAAGTTAATAGTAATTGTCTTAGTGACAGAATAAGTTTAGCAACTATGCTCAACTAACCCCAACTCGGAATTTCAAAATAAAAGTGAGTTTATAAAAAACCCGTGAGAAATATACCCAGAATCTCTGTGCATATTAAAAGTACTTTAATTATATGGAAGAATAACGCTTACCAGATTAAAAATAAATAACATTTGACTAAACCAGAAGAAAACTCGTGATGAATTAATTTTTTACTTTTTGGTCTCAAAATAAACAAAACTCCCGTGAGCCTCATTCATTTGTCCAGCGGCCACTAGCGATCGCGGGATGTTTATTTCTCCAAAACTTCTATCTTTCCGCCATATAATGCCTAAACGGACGGTGAATAGTTTTCGAGATATTTTGATTGCTCAACTTGCCCCTATGCTCAACTAGCCCCGCTCTACCCTAACCGCTTTTGGTAGAACCGGGATTCAAACATATTTTTTAAAACCCACCTTTAAAATAAAAATAAAATCAAACTAGTGCTGCATGGCTTTGTGCCTTATGGCAAATTTCTGAAACTTTTTTAAAATTTCGATTTTTTTTTTTAAAGTTACTTTTTTGAAAATTTTGATTTTTTTCTTATCTTGAAGATTTTGAATTTTTCAAAGCAATCGTGCTGCGTATGTACTCAGAGGCAAAATATCGCGCTGTGTCGCAGTATAACGGGTAAACGTTATAAATCTTGATACGGAACCCATAGAAACGTAAACAAAATTTGTACTTATTATTGAAATGTCTATAAAATATCTGATAATTTGATGCGCATATTATATCCCCGAAAATACGTGCGGATTTTAAGTGGAACGAGAAAGCGCATGTTTCTTGGCACTTGATCTATTTCTCGCCACCCCTACTTTGCAATTAATGACTGCAAAAAGTTATAATTCATCAAAAACAAAATGTTTTTGTCGTTGTTAAAATTTAATATATCTTTTCTAAATTAGCATGGACATTATCATTTGATATAGCTAAGAAATGTAGTTGAACCGATTCTGGTTAATTGTAAAATAATGCACATAAATTTACATTTAAAATTGATTTGTGCAATAACTCTACGTATAATTACCGGAAATCCGAAAAATAAAGTAACAGGTTTTTCTTGTTTTATACTTTTCTGCCTAGAACAAAAATCTGTTTCCGACTTTGTTCTGTGAATCCTAGCTGGAATACATAGCCTTACTTAAATATTTATTCAAATTACTATTTTGCCAATTTTAATTAAGTCATTTCATGCTATTCTACAATATTATTAACACATATTCTATAATAACACGTTGATATTTTTTAATAAAAATATTTGAAAATATGATTTTAAAAATTTCTAATATATAAAATTTAGTCGAATTTATTTTTTGGAAAATCGAATATGTCCCTTTTGATTATACGTATATTGTTTCGTGCTTTTCATCAACGTTTCTGTAGTTTAAATGAGATTCAGTGATATATCGAAATACATCCCTGCCCTGCCACCATTCTATATAAATTCATTTGCAATTATTCTTCGGCAGAGGGAATGTCCAAGTGGTTAATGGACTTCAGGTGGACGCATATTACATCAAAAGTAGTCACACTGCTATTTTATGCTGCAATCGATGTGTTTTCATTAACCTTGTTCTTATTACTTTCGACAGTTCTAGTTTTCTTCCAAATAACTAACCCAACTGGTTTTACAAACTGGAAGAGCCAACACACGACCGTTAACCAATTTTTATCTTCATATCGGCTCATTATTAGGCAATATTGAATATTTATCGACGCTACGACATTCTTGATTTCTATGGGCGAAATTTTGATGAGTTATTTCAAATTAAGTTAAAACAATGCAACATTAATAATAGGCAAGTTGCAAGCACTTTGCTATATCAAAAGTAATAAACAAATGAGATATATCGAATAGTTCGAAATAATTCAAAACAAAATTAACCGTGAAACGGTTTTGACTTGATTTTAAATCGAATTACAACGCTCAAAGAAAACGTGAACAAAATACCGTTTAGTAGGATTGAACGGCCCGGTCGATTTTCTTATAAGACTAAATATAATTTAACAAGAAAGAAAACATACTGAAAAATAATTTATAAAATAATTCGAAATATATTTTAACAAATAATTACGAAGCCTTTGATTGACCGACTGACCGCAAACAATAATAACAAACAATAATAATAATAATAACTACATAATAATAACAATAACGATAATAGAGATAATAATGATAATAACGATAACGAAGATTAAAAAGATAATAACGATAATAATGGCAATAAGGATAATAATGATAATAATCATATAAAAATAAACAGATAATAAAGATAATAACAATAATAACGACAATAAAAATAATAAAGATAATGACGTTAATTCCGATAAAGCAATAATATCGAAAATATTAAAGACGAAAGGCAAATTGCTTTTTAATTCTATCCTGGAAAACATATCCTTGAGTCAAAAACATTTTTTTTGTATTTATAAGGAAGCATGAAAAATATGTTTATTATTTAAGGAGGTGTTCACAGACAAACAGAAATAGAAATTTTAGTGTAGTGGCATAAATTTTAGGTCATTTTTAAATCATCGTAAAAAAGCAATAATTTTTTTACTATTTTTTTTAAATTTTATCAACGTCACAAAGGCATAAAAAAAGTAAAAAATATGTTAATATTTTTAAAAATTTGCAGTTGTTGAAGTGGGGGGTCACAAAAAATTGGTAGGTGACCGTGTCCGCAATGGCATACACTAGGATTATTTAAAAAAAATTCACAAAATGGCGTTTGGAAAAATTACCATTATTTTGCTACTTTTTTAAGTTTCTCGATTTTTTTAAAAATGTAAAAATTGATATTTGGGTATGAGTATATGTCAGAGAGAGTTTATAAAAAAAATCCTTTGAAAATTTTAACTGAATCGGCCCAGTAGAATTCGAAAAATTGTGAACATCGTATTGAAAAAAAACAGTTTTGAAAAAAAACGCGTTGCAAATTTCGCAAAAGGAAGAAAACAGAAGAGGATTATCATGGTCAAATAGCCGAAAATAATTTGAATTTTAAAAAATCAATTCATACACATATTCTTGAGTAGTTAAGCTTTAAAAATATATAAAAAAAAAAAAAACTATTTTTTAGAATTTCTACACTAGCATACAACCTTAATTCATATTATTTAATTTAGTAACATATAAGTAACTAAAGTTATAAAGTAAAAATATTTGAAAGTATATTTAATTGCAGATCGTGGAACAAAATTTGATTCCTTAATAAGAAAACTGACACTAAAATTCGTCATTATTTTCTCCATTAAGACTTTAGTCTCCAATTATTGCTCAATTTTTTCTTCATGCTAAAATGTTCATACAGCTTTATTCGTAAAAATAGTAATAATTATTACAAAAAAGAATAATGCGCAGTAAATTAGTAAAATATAGTTGATAAAGATCTAATGATCAGACTACTTGATAAAAATTTACAAATTGTAAGAAAAAAATAGTTGTATATGAAAGACAAATTCTTTAAAAATTAAATTATTTATTTCATTATATCTTTAAGAATTCAAAATCTCTAAATAAAGTAATACTAAATGATAACCCTTTTGATAACTAATTGTAAGATGTTGCAAAATAATTATTTGTGCAGTTCTCATAGTTTAAATGTCGAAGTAAAGTTTTCGAGCTAATGGAGCTCATTTAAAAATTAGTTTATATTATTCGTTATATTTTTGTTTGTATACACATAAGATCAATTTGAATATTATCAGAAGTATGAATTTTTTTTAGATGTGCTACGATGGCCAGTAGAGTAGTATTGATTGAGCATGAATGAAAGTTTTTTTATAATAGTAAAAAATTATCAATGCGGGAAGATGAGTTAATGAAAATAGTTTGTTTTTGTTGTCGATATTTGATTTTTTTATACTAAATACTTTTTGTTGTTATGAATAATTTTGTGCAATAATATTGTGAAGTATTTGTTCATTGAATCATGAACTAAATTGAAATAAAATTACAATATTCAAAAATATAAATGATTAAATTATAACGATTTTATGAAACAAACGACAAATGTTGAAAGTATGTGAAATGTTACATGTAGAACATTTTAGTATGATCATTTTGACCCTCAACTGTATGGTCAAGAGAATTTATTGTAGAAGTTAACGGTAAATTATGAAAAAAATGACTCGGCCGATCTACGTTAAAACTAATCAGATTGGCTTATAACAAACCAACTTATATCCTTAAAACGGGTTTCAATTTTTTATGATCGGTTCAGGACTTTTAGACGTATTTTTACTGTTAACTCTTATAATTAGACACAAAGAAATGGCACAAGTTTGATTTTATTAGTAATTAAGTTAATATTTTAATTGTTCTAAACAATTATCCTCCTAAATTAGAGATTTATATTTTGATTACAACGTTAATTGCAATACACGACTAAAAACTACTTTGGCTTATTCTAAACTCCAAATCCCTGAGTTTTACATTTATCAAATATTTGTCATTTAATATCGATAGATAATACTACTGAGAAAGTGTAATTATATAAAAATCTCAATAAGTATTTTATAATTGCAGGTTGCATATCTATCTCGGAAATTTGTTCAATGGTGATAAAGCTCTCGGAGACAATATGAATGTATTTTTGAATGAAAATTGGCAAGACATTTTCAACGAATTGAAACCAGCCGTTCAAGATTCCTTTGCTGCTGTTTTTAAAGAACTAGCAAATAGGATGTTTAAGAAAGTTTCTTTTAATGATATTTATTTATCATGATCATTGATAATTTCATTATCATTGTTATCTTTTATTTCATTATCGCCAAAATCTACATTCGACAAGAATTTACCAAATATGCAAAGAAAATTAACACTTTTAAGTAGACTGAAATATGAAAGATTATTGTATTACATGTAGTTAATAAAATTGGATTGATTTTATTATCAAGTTGTTATCAATATAGTTGAATTTAATAATATAAAAATATATGGTGCGTTCTGAAACATTATCCAAAGCATATTATAGAATTTATTCTATAGTGTATATCCAAGATATATAAATTCTCACTTTATAATAATTAGTTTACGAGAGACCTTAATATAATTTTTAAGTATACGTTGGTTAATTGTTTTATAAGATGAACTGTGAATTTAGAAAATCTCTATAAAAGCTCACATCTGGGTGGAATAAAAAGGACCAACTGAATCTTTACCCCGACAAAGGTGTAAAAAATAAAAAATGACAAATAATAAAGTAAATTAAGTAAAAAAAGCTATTTTACAAGAGATAAATTAAATACATAGTTATTCCAACTCTGCTGATAAATATTTCTGACGAAATACTAGATCGTGATTATCTTCAGTGTTATTTCTGTAATAACTGCTCTCATGAAGCTTATAATCTGTATTGATTGAATAATGTAGCTTTCAAAATTAAAACAAGAAATTCGAGCTTTTTGGTTCCTGGCCATCGCAATTTATCATGCATGAAGGGTACAAAAGAACCAGATTACAAATATTTGAAAAACAGAAAAAAAAGATTCCTACAATCATGAATTACTGAACATAGTCAGGTAGTTGTTTGTTTAATATGTGTTATTTATTGTGATATAATTGGCTTGATTTTCATCATATTATTGCTTAAAGTCAAAGTGAACCTTGGTGACCCGCACTACTCTATACATATTGTACTTGCAAAACAATATGAAATCTAAATTTATTTACCTTTTACAAATAATTGTTATTTTAAAATAATGCGAATAGTATAAATGTTTGATTCACCTACATTCCCTCCCATAATATTCATTTGAAAATGTCATCGAATTGCCTTTAGCGATAGAAGTATCAATCAATAAATATTTTGATTATTACATAACAATAAAATTCAACTAATTATAATCAAATATAAAATAATTCATATTTTATCCAAACAATTGATAACAAGTAGTCTTGTTCAATTATATTAACAACCCGCCAATTATGAGTGACAAGTGATATTGTTTCATGAAATATATTATTTGTAAAAATTATCAATAATTATTAATTGTTTATTATATTTTGGCGACTAATCACACAAATCCAATTCTTTTAATTTTTGAAATATTCGCTATAATGTAATGTAAATAAAATTTGTGTGCTAACAATAAGTGTAATCCGCAATTATATGAATAACGCGACAAAGCAGCTCCAGTTTTTAAGTTTTAGAGGACTACCCCAATTAGTTATTTCGGCTATAATTATTGCAGTTTGAAGAATAAATAAGAGTTTTATCTGCTGTTTTTGGTATGGCTTCGACTCTAGGACGTTGTGGGCATATTTCAGATAGTTTATGTTACATCTGTGGTTAATATTTTTTCGACAAATACCGGAAACCTATGTCGAACTTTGTAGAGACATCGTAATTCAACCACTTTAAAACTGAATTGCGCAATAAAGATAAAACATGCGTTCTTTATACTATGTGAAAATATTGCGTAGTATGTTTACGTTATTATCCAGAAGAAAAATAAAACTATAATTTTAATACCCCCATCATTTAGAAAAAGGCTCTGAATCACCATGGCGATTGTTTCTCCTGTGTGGTAAATACCATCATAAACACAACCTGAATGGTATTGAGGTCTACTTATGATCAGCTACACAAACCCTATCCATGCTAATGATGAACAACCGAGAATATCAACATCTCGTGCCTAAAACGATAAAAGAAAAGACTTAAAAACTGATGTATTTGATGTCATTGATTAGAATTCATCATTCTCTATTCACTCTTATTCAAAACGGTTTTCGGAAAATTTAGAAGATATTAGCGGAAAGCAGGGTGAGAGTATCCACCAAGACATCAGGACTTTGCAGAAGCGATATCAAGGAAGGTAGGACATACACATGATGGCTGACAATTGTTGGAGCTTTTGAAGAAAGCCTTGTCCATGCTCGAAAATCATATAAAAAGATTCTTGAAAGCATAAGATGAAATATGTTGTATTTTTTTACTGTAATTTGAGGTAAAATTAATATATTGGCATATCTAAAGCGTCATAACATCTCAGGAAAATTTTTTGGTGTCGCGCAGTGTAATAAGTAATTTGTACGAAATACCAGTAATCATATTAATTGTCAATCTTGTTCAAGCATTGAAAAAAATCAAAAGCGTTATCGTAAATATCACTTGTTCAATTTCATTGAAAATTATGTGTTATTGATAAAAAATATAGACAAAACAATCTGCATGTTATTAACGAAGTTTACATTAAGCCTGATAATATGCCCATACAATGATCCGTCCTGATTATACTAATTCTGATTTATTACTTTTATCACTAACTATAATATTCAATCACAATGTCAAAACGTCGAAGTTGATAGTATGTGGTCGCTATGTGTACTCCTTTGTTAGATTCATGAATTTGTTTTCAAATCAAATGTTATTTCTGACCTTTTTAAATGTAAGTGATATGATTTTTTTTTATTTGCAGAAAACATTTTCACATTACATGCTCTTCTATATTTTAATCATGTAAGCCCATGATTAAAAATTTTAGATAAAAATGTAATTAATTTTTTTCTCTTTTAGTTTTATCTTTTGTCTTTTAGTTATCCGCCTGTCGAATTAGCTGATTTTTTAAAATTAATTGTACCATAGCTGTAATTTGGAAAAAATTACCACGTTCAGAGATCTAATTCGATCTAATAAATAATATTTCTGCTAATAATCGGTTTAGTAAGCGTTTATATAAATTGATACTGATTATAGAGAGAAATATTCACATCAGCGATATTTTAAAGGTAATGTGTAAAGGTATGATTCATCAAAATGCTTCTCGATATATCTATATACAGACTATTTTTACCATTCAAAGCTATTTTGTGATCATTTTTATGAGGAATTAAAATTTGGAGTAGATTTTTCGTTCATTGTTTTTTGGATTAGTTCAAAATTTTTAAAAGCAATTATTAGTAATTGCTTTTTTTGTAAAAAAAGTTATATCTTAAAAGTAGGTGTGAGTAGTATGTTTCCTTGTAAAGTTACATGAACTTTGCAATATTATTGTCAATAAGATTTGAGATTTAGATACTTTCTGAATTGTGATTATTCCAAACATTGTTGGATTGGTATAGTTAAACCTCTGAATTTTTATAATTAATTTTACAAAAGCCTATAATATTTTAGGATGCTTGTTTAGAGACAAAGAACTTTGACACTTCTTAAAGTTTCATTTTTTACCCATTTGTTACAAAAAAAAGCTTTAAAAAAAAGTAATCAGTAGGATTACGCACTGATATTTTTCAAACAACTCGTGAATTTTTAAAACCCTCGATAGATCGTCGCGTTTTCAAAACTAATAAACGTTAGTCCTCATGGCTTTTAAATTTTTAAAATATATGCAGCCGTTTTGGAGAAACATCACCATAAAATCAAATTTTAGCTCATATACACACATACTTATTAATGAAAAGAAATGATAATTAATAAGGTTCGAAAACCTTCACTATGTTTTGATATGAACACTTGAATTGTTTTTAATTTGGATATTCACAAGAAGCAACAAATTAGAGCCATTCAAAATTTCAAATGGCATTTAATTCAAATTTTATCGGTGGCTAACGGTGACAAGTTGTGGAATCATCCAAGCCCCTGTCGACATCTTGTTCGATTTTTTAAGGAGTGATAACAAGGTTTGATGCATTGTTTTATAATACCATAACCATCTTCAGCTTGTATATTTATGAGTTGATTTACAGTGGTGTAAAATATGCCGGATTGTCTCTCTACTGTCACATTTTGGCACTGTTATTTGTAGCACTTTTATATTGTTGATTCATTCTATAATCTGTTGCATTATGTTGAAAATCAAAATTGATAGTTAACAAAAAATCTATAAAAAATTATTAGCTGTTTCATGAAACCAGATGGTAGAAAGTCGATACTTTTGTAACTCATAATTTTTGGATTTTGTTAAAAGTTTTATAGTAAAAAATTATAAGTAAGGTTTCATTCAAAATTCATTTGTAAATTTCTGGGCTGATTATGCTTTAAAATAGACCAATGTTATGGCTATGTTATATTTTAGTTTTCATACAAAATGCTACTAAATACTGTCAAAATGTAAAGTATTTGCTGTGCGAGCAGGCGTTTTCAACATAAAATGCAACTTCACTCATATGTTATCAAGCCATATCTCAAAGATCCGCTTATGATAATATCGCTTTTTTTTACATTTGTGCATTTTCTAGATAAGGTTTTCTATCTAAAACGCCAGGCTACATAAGATTTTAACAACTACTTAAGATTTTAACAGTTTTAACTACGGTTTTGTATGAAAACTGCTACATAACATAGCCTTGTCATAACATAGGTCTATTCAAAGGCACAATCGGCCTCTTTGTTTTACATTTTCCTGCTTTTTAATTGATAACTCCGTTACTGACCTAAACCTAGCTAGTTTAAATTTAACATTACTAAAATATTTTTGAACCGACACACATTTTTGTCCGATTTTTAAAGCCAAAAATAGTATAATAATTCCATAAATTCTTCGGCAACAATTGCTTCTAATACATGATGATATTAGTTAAGCATAATTTTACTCCTTGCGCGTTTAATAATTAAATCAGCGTGTCAAGTCGATCCTTTATGGGCATTAATAGAAGAGACAATAAATAGCCACAAATTTCATTAGATCACCGCCCCTGCATAATCGTGCAAAACAGTCTTGCCAGTATTGTTTGAGTTCTATATGACTATGAGCAAGACTACAAGACTACAAAGGTTAGATT